GATGGACGGACAGATGGACGATGGATGGATGATGGATGGATGGATGGATGGACAGATGGACGATGGATGGATGGATGGACAATAGACAGACAGATGGACGATGGATGGACGATGGACGGACAGATGGACGATGGATGGATGATGGATGGATGGATGGACGATGGATGGATGACGGATGGATGGATGGACGGACAGATGGATGATGGATGGACGGACAGATGGACGATGGATGGATGATGGATGGATGATGGACAGACAGATCGACGATGGATGGATGATGGACGGACAGACGGACGATGGATGGACGGCCGGAGGGCTGGAGGGGGGGAGAGATGGGCTGAGAGGTGGAGGGAGGGGCAGGAGGATGGAGGAAGAAGATGGATATGGGGCCACGTGGACGGACAGACGGACGGAGGGAGGGAGGGATGGACAGACGGACAGACAGAGATGGGCAGGGGGATGTGGGAGTGCCCAAAGGGACGGACGGACGGACGGAGAGAGGGAGAGGGGATGGACGGATGGATGGATTGGTGTCCACATGGACGGACAGAGGGAGGGAGAAGATGGAGGAGGGGACCGAGGGACGGACAGACGGACGGAGGGACAGAGGAGATGGAGGAGAGGAGCGAGGGACGGACAGACAGACGGAGGGGAAGAGGAGAGGAGTGAGGGACGGACAGACGGACGGAGGGACAGAGGAGAGGAGTGAGGGATGGACAGACGGACAGAGGAGAGGAGCGAGGGACGGACAGACGGACGGAGGGACAGAGGAGAGGAGTGAGGGACGGACAGACGGACGGAGGGACAGAGGAGAGGAGTGAGGGACGGACAGACGGACGGAGGGACAGAGGAGAGGAGTGAGGGACGGACAGACGGACGGAGGGACAGAGGAGAGGAGTGAGGGACGGACAGACGGACGGAGGGACAGAGGAGAGGAGTGAGGGACGGACAGACGGACGGAGGGACAGAGGAGAGGAGTGAGGGACGGACAGACGGACGGAGGGACAGAGGAGAGGAGTGAGGGACGGACAGACGGACGGAGGGACAGAGGAGAGGAGTGAGGGACGGACAGACGGACGGAGGGACAGAGGAGAGGAGTGAGGGACGGACAGACGGACGGAGGGACAGAGGAGAGGAGTGAGGGACGGACAGACGGACGGAGGGACAGAGGAGAGGAGTGAGGGACGGACAGACGGACGGAGGGACAGAGGAGAGGAGTGAGGGACGGACAGACGGACGGAGGGACAGAGGAGAGGAGTGAGGGACGGACAGACGGACGGAGGGACAGAGGAGAGGAGTGAGGGACGGACAGACGGACGGAGGGACAGAGGAGAGGAGTGAGGGACGGACAGACGGACGGAGGGACAGAGGAGAGGAGTGAGGGACGGATGATGGGGATGGTGACAATGATGATGGGATGGGGATGATGGGGATGGGGACGATGGTGAAGATGATGGGGATGGGGATGGTGGTGACCATGATGATGGGATGGGGATGATGGGGATGGGGATGATGGTGAAGATGATGGGGATGGGGGGCAGGATGGTGGG